ACGGATCTTGCCCGTGTTGAGATTGCGCTGGAACCCCCATTCCCTATACTACTGTGACTACTTATTCAAACTAGTTTTCTAATTCTTTGTCAAAAGCGGTCAAAGGGAACCGTTTGCTCTCGTTATTCCAGCAATGAGTAAACGATTGACCGAATCAAAATGTAGAAGTTGAGAATAAAAGCGCAAGTCAAAAACATAAAGTCACTTTTAATGAGCGAATGAATCGTATAATAATTCAGCCCAGCCAGTCAAGTTCCAAAATAACCGGCTGTTGTAAAACAAGAAACTCTTGTGTTTATTTTGGAATTTTCCAATTAATTGAGTAATTATTTAAATTTTAAAAATATTTTCAATGTCTTATTTAATACTCTGCCATCTGCTATAAATAGTAGATAGGGTTTAATCTTTTAAAACATTTTAGTGCATAATTCAGTGTTATAAAGGAACCAACTTGGAGTCCAACTTGTACCTCAAAATCATCGACCAAATCTGTTACAATTGATTCATCTCCGTCGTTGTACTTGTGTACAGAAATTTTCTTACCTGCTTACACCAGCAGCAGAAGCAAATAGATCCTTGATATCACGAGAATTACAATTCCTAGAGAACACAACCTATGAATAAATAAAAGTTTTGTCTTAGTGTTTTCAGTTTATCGATATAACGGCGTGTGCTACACCTAAATTATGACATTCTTCGTTATATTTTGACCATGAATTATCTTCATTATAGAGCATAAAGATCTCAATTTAAATTAATATTATTTCTAGTCGAAATAGAAGGTAGAAAGGAAGAGAAGAATAATCCAAACCTTTTGTTCCCGTCCTTCTACTTCAAGATAAACTGTTCGAGTGGTGACTTGTGAATGGTGTGAAACGCCACTGCCCATGTTGAACGATAAAACACGCTCCCTTTTTCGTCAAAAACGTCCTTTCATCTGTAAAAAACACCTACAAATCTCCTAGAAGACTTTTCCGATCGAGTTAACAACTAACCAAGTATAAATTTTCAAAATTCTGCCCACAAAAACTCCCTTTTTCGACACGAAGAAAGCGAGGCGGTGCGGATGGATTTTCATCCCTTTGAAAAAATTCCGCCACATTCCTCGTCACCTAGCAACAGCATGAAAAATTCTTCGAGAAAATGGTCGCCACACGTATTTGAGGCGTATCCTAGCAACAATCCAAGCGTATCCTAGCGGCTAATTAGGTTTTTGGGTATAAATAGAACTGTAATAAATAAGCCTTGACATTGACATACCAAATTTTGATGAATTTCCTGACTTTCAGAGGAGATTTACTGAACCTTTCAACCAAACTTTCGGGATATCAGTCTTTAATTAAGTTTTGAAAATTTGAAGCAAGAGGACGAGATTTGCTGGGGGGAAATTGTCAAGAAAAAAAGTTGAATATTCTCGTACAAATTGTCAGAGCTCATGCAGTCAGTAACAAGCGAAGTGGGGGAAAAAAAGAAGAAAAACAGAAGAAAAAAAGAATACGAACTTTTCAAAAGTTTCAGGTCACCCATCCAGATACTAACCTCGCCCTACCGGACTTGGTGTTCTGAACCCCGATTTTTTTTCCACTGGACCACGTTTCCAAAAAATTAGCACAACAATAGCCATGAAAACAATGCAGCAGATAGACTAGATTATTTTTCCACTTCAAATCAATGTACCTAGTGCGTTGCAGGGTGGTGCAAGGGATTAGCTGTAGATATGGTCTGGGGGCCGGCTAGTCTCTGATGCTTCGGCTAGAACGTCGTCCTGCGTAATTCGTGCAAACAAGGGCAGAAGGATTTAATTGCCGTCAGGTCCGAAGTCCATACGTCGCCTCAGCTCTGCGGATGTCTCGGGGGTATGGCATGTTGTAGGTGCAGGTTATTTTTTGGAATTAATTATCAAGTTTCTGTCGGTGAACGTGGGTTCGAATCTCACCGCATCCAGAAAATTTTTCCTTTTTTGTTATTTTAAATTGTTCATTAGGTTTAAACCTTAACACGTTATTTTTAGAAAGAGTGACTGCTATTCCTTTTTGCTTACATTCAGCAATAACAACAATCTTAATCTGAAAACTCCAGCTTGGCTTACTTGGGTTGAAATGCTGCCTGGGAACAGTTTGCCTAATGAAAGCTTTTACTCCCCTTTAGTTTCATGGTAACGCAACTTTCTCATGCAGGTTATAGGTTCCGAGTCTCCGCAAGACTAACAAGTGACCAATCCTCATGCGGCCCCTCAGGCCTTTAAATGCTAAAACTTTCTATCTTAGGTGCTTTCCCAAAATTTCATTTCCGGGATTGGGAATTTTAATGAAGCCTGAAATTTTATATGGAGAGGAGAATTCCACAAAAGGCATGTTTCCCAGTATTTCTATGCCCGTAGCAATGATTGTAGGATGAAAAACGCGTCTGATTTCCTACCCTCTGTATGGAGGTATATGTACGTCACTCGCAACACAAAACAGACCAGAAACCAGATTCCTTTTTTCTCAGAAGATAAGAATGACAAAACATTTCTTTAATTTATAACTTTTTGGACATTAACTTTATTCATTTGCTATAGATTATGAATTTATAAATCATTGTGTTCTTTATAAGAAATTTGCGTAGATATTTTACATAGAACTTTATATCTTATGCATTTATTCTTAGTTACAGTCGAAGGGAACAAAAAATATATGTGACATGTCGTATACGGTTGACGTTTATTTAAATCCAATATGGTGGACATTACGTCACGCGGCGAGAAGAATAGAAAGAATTTTGATCGCAATTCTGTGCGTCAAAGTGGCTTGAATTTTTCAAACCTTTCTTGATTTTCTTGTAAGAGAATCATTCAAGTAAACACTGACAGATGTGATGTTTGTTCAAAAGCTGTTCCGCCGCTTGAAGTGGGTATTCATTTTTCTTCCTCCACTACAGATTTTTTTATTGACTTTTCACTTTTTTCGCTATCCTGAAGAACAAGATAAAAACAAAAGAGAAAACATGTGAGAAATATCTAAGCAATGTTTGATAAGCTTCCGAAGAGTCTTACAAATTCCATTCCAAGTTTGAACGTAGCGTGCAAGGGACTATGAGTGGTTAGGGGGAACGATTTTTTTTTGTCTAATGTTGGTTTTGTTAATGAATTGTTCTCTCAGTGGCCTACATTGATGAAGTTCCTTGGATTTGAGGGAAAAATTCCGCGCCAAAACCACCCAACCCTCGACCCCAGAGCTATGTCATTCTTACTGCGCATGCGCGACGAGTAGTGTGTACCAAACCGCTGGTCCATACCTGTTTTTCATCTTCGTTGTCCTTATTCCTGTCTTCTTGTTTGTCTGCAGGCTGTGTTGCAGGACAAACAGGAGAATCAGTGGTTCCACCTTGAGATGATGTTCGGACAGAGTTCGGCCCTTCGCTTGATCTGATTCGTTCGTTTCTTGCTCTTCGTAGATTCTCTTCTTCGACTCTTTTATTCTCGTAATGTTCGTAAGCTTCTCGAAGTGGTTTTACCATCACACCATCGATCTGTGGAAAAAGCTGGAGAGAGAGAGAGAGTAGGTGATGGTGAATATTTAAACCATAGTTAGTAGAGACCCCCCTCTTTACTAACTTGGTGTTTAGACTAATTTCCATCATTTTGCCGTGAAACTATCTCGTTAAATGAAATTTTCGCCACACTTAAATTTCACTATTTTGCGAAAAATTATATTCTAAGTCAATGAAATTTTGTGATGCCGGCTTGAATCACTCAGGGACTTCCTTACCTTACTGAGCGACTCGAACAAAGGAATCAAGACAAACTTGATAAACCCGATCTGAGCCGTTGCCTTGGTAACCTTGTCACGGTCCATGAAGGGCGCTACAGGAAGTCCTTCAGCCTTTTCACGATCACTCTGTCGATTAACATATTAATGAATTATTCATAGGGGTCCAGTTAGTAGGTCGGCCCTAAGTCGGTACTAAAACGAGCCCCTCCCCTCCCCCCATAAATCCATGAGCCTCTAGTCCTCGTCTTTGTCCTGACCTGCATGAAGTATTCTTCAAGTAGACAGTCAACCCACGGGTCAGACACTTCCATGGGACGAACTTCATTTGAAATGTCGCAACACTTGACTAGAATCATCTTCATCTGCAACGAGAAAAAATAGCCTGATTGAAATGGTTTGCAATCACTTGTAAAAGTACGAACGAACCAACGAAAAGCGACGGCTTGATAAATCATGAAGCAGAATATAGATTACGACTGCTGTCTTGATTGCTCACCGAATTAAGATAATCCTCGTTTCTGAAGTCAAACGATGACAGCTTGCTCTTAAAATTCTCTACGATCTCGCTGTGGCGAGCCATGTCTGTGGCCAGAATCAACATAATCATCTCCTTTGAATGTTAGAAAAAATCCGTAAGAGATTATTATTGACCTATCAGTCTAACAACATGCGACAGACAGACAGAATGAATGGCAGACAGCCAGTCAGACAGAATGACAGACAGACAAACGGACAGACAGAATGACAGACAGACAGACGGACAGACAGACAGACAGAATGACAGTCAGACAGACGGACAGACAGACAGAATGACAGTCTGACAGACGGACAGACAGACAGACAGAATGACAGTCAGACAGACGGACAGACAGACAGATGAACGGAAGGATAGACGGGCATTCTTACTTGTCGTATTTTTGTGAACAGTTCTTGACTCAGGTTACCAAATATATTGTATTCTGGCTGAAAAGAAAAGAAATTTTCTACTTAAGTTCATTTTTCCCGAAGTAACCAAGCCTTCAAAAGTACCCAGTCATGCATTGCGTGAAAGGAAGACCGTCGCCAGCTTACCTGAGATAAGATATCAAAGGCTGTGGCTGCGTGATGGTTCTCAAGCGGAGACGTATCGTTATAACGAACGGATAAATCTGTTTTGGCGTTGATTTGGTAACTAAAAAAAAAAAAGAAAAGAAAAATAATCGATGAAATCTGTGGTGGATGCCGATCGGGAAAATACACGTCTGAATATAATGAGGATATGATTAGTCCCCATGACGTCATACTCACGTGTTGTTGTATCCAGGGTGATCAAGATCATGACATACACACGTGGTCAGTAGGACGAGAATATCGAGGCTTGATAGTAGTTCTTTCAAGTTACATAGGTGAATGATGCCATACATCTGAAATAGAGAAAATAGAATGAATATACATATTGACATAATGGTGCCACTTCCCACTCACCTCAACAAATCATCCTTCCTTCCCCTCCCCTCCCCTCCCCCAAACACATGCATGTATCCCCACTTATCTTAACAAACATCCCTCCCTTCCCCTCCCCTCCCCCCAAAGACATGCATGCATCCCCATTCACCTTAACAAGCATCCCTCCCTTCCCCTCCCCCAATAACACATACACGTTATGTGAGGAAAGTCATTCACCCAGTAACCTCTTTTACTACTGTTATTATTGCTACGCCCTGATCGAGACAATGGTCGCGACAAATAATTTATTGCCCATTCACCTGTCAACGCGTGGTAATGAAAATAGGCAATCGGCTTTTAATTAATTGACGTATGCGCCCAGAATTTATCGAGTAGTAATATTAATATGACAAAGACAAGACTTACCATTTGAGTAACGCAGAAACAATGACGGAAGTTGTGGAATGGATTGTTACGATAGTTAGCCTGGATGCACATCTAGTGAAAGAAAAAACATTTAAGAATCATTAAAGGAAAACATAAACAACACTAAATGGAAACCTGCCATTGAGTAATCAAGAATATACCTGAATCGTCGTGGTGCAATTTTTTTTTTTCATTTCTGATCACATGTCATTCCCTAGATATCATATCTTTGTTTAATGGTTGTGCATGAGAAGACACATGTATATGGATACAACTCAAACAAATAATCTTATTCTCAAGAGAATGACACGTGGTCTAAGATGGGTAAGCATTGCACCAAGATGAATGAATTCTATTTGTTATTTACAAGGAATCTCCTGAGAATGTTGACGTTGATTTTGAATTCATGAACAAGATCCAGGTCGTGATACATGTGTTCGAGCAGCGACAGCATCTGGAAGAAAGAAGAATTGGAAATAGAGAAATGAGACATGGGAAGAATGGAAAAAGAGAGATATGATCATGGAAGGGTGAAAGAGTGGAAATAAGGAAAGAAAGAAAGAAACGGAGGAAAATGAAGAGACGGGAAAGGGGGAAGGAAGGGAAAAAGATAAAGGACAAAGAAAAAGAAGTAAATGAATGATAAGTAAGAATTTATAATGGAAAAGAAGAAGAAAGAAAGTGAAGGCAAAAAAGAGAGAGAGAAAACAGGAAGAAAATAAAAAAGGGAAGGGAAGGGAAGGGAAAGGAAAATAGATAAAGTAATGATACAAAAGAAAGGAGAATGGAAAAGAAGAGGTTTGCATAACAACAGACATAAGAACTCACCTCATTTGGTTCCCAGTGCCAAATATTGAAACTCGGTTTCTTGAGGAATTGCAAAGTCTGGGAATCCCATTCATGCTTAAGGAAAAAAGTCGCAACATCATTAAAACAATCCCTTCAGTATACCATCTATTTACTTTCACTCTTTGTTCTTTTTTGACTAAATCGCTTAATTTTCAGAAGTATCACCACAGGGAGCCCAAAGGATAGCATTAGAATCTCATGCGGGATTCCTGTGGTAATAAAAAGAATGTGTCGACAAACCTTTGGGTAACTAGCGGCAGGACGAGCTACTTTAATGTGAGACTTGGGCTTGTTTTTGTTATCTTGAATGGCCTTCCATGTGATCCTGAAAATGAAATGGGAAGGAAAATTAAAAGAGAGGAGATGAGAGAAAAAGTAGAATGGGAAGCCAATGGAAAGCAATGGGAAACTGATTGTGATGATTCGACGAATGGTAAATGAATGAATTCTCAGTTCAATAGGAATAATCAAATGGGAAATAAATAATGGAAATAGTAGATGAGAGAGATGTAATGAATATGAAATAAAATATGGAAACGTGAATATACGCGTGCGCACGTCTCTGTACTGTGATATAAACACGCTGGGAGCTGTAGAGCACAAGAGAAACAAGCTTAGAACGTGTGTCTCTGTCCTGGGAGCTGAAGAGCACAAGAGAAACAAGCTTAGAACGTGTGTCTCTGTCCTCTGATATAAACACGGTAACCAGCCAATCAGCACGCGCGTTGAATCTCAAATATTTTATAAATAGTTATATGGACGTGCATCGCCATTATACCAGGGGTTGGGTGAACGGGTTACATATAGACATACATGCCATTGTTATTTGAAGAAGACAACGAATTGTGAGATATGTATTGTTATGCTAATAAGGTAAAGGAACCAAAGGTGTCTTACCTATCTTGTCCTATTTGTTCTCGTATCTCAGTCACTTCTTGGTGAAGCTGTTGTAGTTCTATTAACTTGTTTGACTCGGCTACAAAACCATCATTTGCAATCTATTAAACTTATATAATACACCACGATATATACACCACAGCAAATCTATAATAACCCTAATTTATTTTGGTGACACTTCAATGCCAACACGTACATACACGGTACGTGTTGGCATTGAAGTGTCATTTAGTAGAGAGTTTTTGCATGACTGTGAAACGAACAGTCCCGTGCCGTAACCGTGATGTTTTCTAGGATTTTAATTGGCTGATTTTTTCCTCGCGCAATGCAGGTGAATGGTCTGACAGTCCCGTGACTTTTGCGTGACCGTGTCAGCGTATTTGATTGGATAGAGAGTAAATTCTCGAGCAATGTTATTGGTCTGGAGTATGCTTGCCGTGTCACGACCGTGCTAATGCCGTGAGCTTTTCACAGTCATACGAAAACTGCTCTCCTGATTTACAGCTCGTGCCGTGAGCTTTTCACATTCTGATTTACAGCTCCCACCAGCGGTACCATGTAGTGCCGGGTAGTAAGATTATGATCATTCCATAATTTCTCCTCTCAGCATTACAAAAAAAAAAAAAAAAAAAAAGGATTCTAACCTTTAATTCTTCCTTCTATCAAATTAGCTCTTTCTTCAAATGACTGTTTTATCTGTTCTGCTGTGATATGGCTGAAAATGAAGATATATAGTCTTTCAATTTCAATCGCCATTAATTCTGCGCGTGGGAAGATATTAAGAGCCTGCATAGGCTTCTTCAGAGTTCCATAAGTGTGTTTGTACCCAAGAGAGACCACAATGCATTATGTTCCCTATCTAAGGAAATCTCTGTGGGTAGGCCCGACCAAAGCATGACGACAAACCGACCAAAGTACGACAGCAATGCGACGACTACAGGATCTTAAATGAAGTAATATCTAGTGTGCCTGAATGAAGGCGAAGTTGAAACCCTGCTTGCTACGAAGGGGGTGAGGGTATGGGGATGTTGCTCTGTACCTTATAATGGTGTCAGCAATACGAGTGATTACACCTTTTAACACACTTTCATCTCCTGTGGAATGAAAAATATTCTATGATATATTATTTGTATAAATGTATTAGTGAACATGACCGTCATTTAGACTACGTACCATATTTACTGCTAATCGATGAAACAGAAACGATGTAGGGGTTTCTGAAAATAAAAAAATCGTTTAGGACTCGGTTAGTACTCAGTTAACAGTCGGCTAGGTCTCAGATCTCGTTCAGTACTCGGTTTGTCACCCTTCGGCATTCAGTTAACAGTCATTCAGCATTTGGCTAACGCTCGATTAATGCTCGTTAAACACTCGGCTAACACTCGGTTTTTCTTCAACACTTGGTCAGTTGTAACTGTTTAACACTTTTTGATACTTAATTCAGGGCTCGGTTGGCATTCGGCTTTATTTGATTGGTTAATATTGGTTAACCTCTGGTACTCGGTTAGTACTCGCTCAACATTCGCTAATATCTCGGTTGTCGTTCGTTCAGTGCTCGGTTTGCCTTTGGTTAGTAGTACCTTGGTGTGTTCAAAGGCATGTTTGGTTCTATGACCACATAACTTCCATCCTGTCTCTTCACTGTTAGATTAGCCCACCTAAACAAATAAAAATAAAGAAGACTGGTACTGAATACGTCCCGCATAGACTTGTGGGTAATCTATTACTTTAGTCTCTCTAACTTTAAAGAACATGCGGAATCATCGTCGCGACGAAGTAGGTTTTGGTAGTCGTCAATCAAGATATTTCTATTTGATTGACATCCATCAAAAGCCAATTTTGTCGTGAAAGCAATTTTTTATACGATTTTTTGCGTGTGATTCGGAAGGATTGTAATCCCTCTGTCGGTACTTCACTCTATGCATAACAACGGAAGAATACATTGACAGAACACCTTAGCAACCAGGATGACGTAATAACCGCCTTCAACCATTGGCCTGCTTGTACGAACTCTCAAATGGCTTCCCAATCCAAGACCTGCTATTGGATAGCCTGTGTTTTCCCTCGTGCTTTTTGATTGATTGAAAGCGGAAACCATTTGAGAGCCTCGCTAGGGTACGTTTCACCCTCCCACGAAATGATCTGTTATCTAAAAGGTGCTTTTTGGGTCAAACGCAACGAGGTTTTGCGCCTCCTCAGTTAATGGAGGTGAGATAGTGGGCCTTGGGGCCGATAATTTGTAAGAAGGGATTTTACAGATTTAGTTATTGAAAAAATTACCAAGAATTAGAAAAACGGTTTCGATTTTACACTCGAAAACGACCTCCCACAATTCTCGGGGATTTTCCGGAAAACAATAAAGAGTTTTGCCTCAACAACAGGAAAACATGAAAAAGTATGTCCAAATTGCTGTGGGCGATGAGATGGATTAAGATATTTTCTAACTTAAAGGTTGACCGATATTTTTAAGTCAGAGATTTGACGTCTCGACTCTCCGAGTGTAATAAGTCTGATATCGTTTATCGCAGAACTCAGAGAGCAGAGAGGCGTGTTTGGCGGATAATATCTATCATGGTAGATAGATACCTCCTAGATTGTCTTAATGTCCATCAATGAAAAACAAGGAAACTGAACGGCTGGTATTCAAGTACACCACACATATCGCCAGCCATGTTTGAATGAACTAATGTGTTATGTAATATGTAATAAAGTGGGGGGAAACACGAGAAAAATCCTTAGTAATTTCTTGAGTAATGGTTGTTTGTTTATTGTTTTGTTTTATTGAAAAGAAAAAAAAGTTTAGATTTATCAAGAATCTTGTTTTGTTCCCCCTGTAGTTTGACTGCGTGGGATCAACGGCAAAAACCCTTGTCGCGTAATCAAAGCAAGAAAGAAAAGAAAAAAGAAAAAAAAGAGATCAGTAAAAACTAGTCTGAGAATAATTAGAGTTCGGAGCTAGCGAGAAGGCTTTGACATAAATAACGCGTACGTTATAATGGTAAAATCGGCCGGTGTTCATCGAGGCGCGAACTGATCGTAAGAATAATCATTAAAGAAACAGACTGAATGCATGTAGGGGAAAATATGTTCCAAATAGCTTTGAAATTTAGTTTTTTAATCCGCTAGGATTGGGTTTTATCTCGCGCAAGGCCAAAACACTTTTTCATCGACGAACTTTCGTTCGTAAAATATTTTCTTTAACTTACCTATTTACTCCTGCAACAGAGGCCAACATATCTTTGATATCCTGTGAACTACACTCTGCTGAAAACACCAGCTGAACAGAGGAATGAACATTAGAAAATGAGTTATTTTCAGCTTCTGGTTCAGCGAACCTTGAGTGAGAAAGACGGTAGTTTTTAGAGTAACTAACCTTTAGCGGGCGACCATCAAGTTCAATATAAATATTTTTCGGTTTCCCCTCTAGTATAGACTGCCATTGCCGTTGCCCATTTTCGAAAACATAAGGGTTTGTTTCGTTTATCGAGCAACCGACAGCTCATCGAGTATTCAGCTAAAAACAGAGAAAAATATTGACCCACTGGCTATGAGAATTTCCGAGATGATTTAAGTATTTCCCTGGCGAATAGGCTTAAAAAACCCACCTCGGACGTTGCTGGGCAACGGATGATAGATTTTCAGTTTTGACGTTTTGAGAAGCCGACGGCGAAAATAGGAGAAGATCAAAAAGGACGACTGGACTATAATGTTAAAAAGGGAGGAATAAGAAAATTAGTAAGGATAAAAAAGGGAAAATATTGTACTCTATCGGACGTGAATGGTTTTGACAAAAAACGAGTGGATTGGATGAACTAGTTTGGAAAATACCGAAAGAAAATACGATTAAGCGCTAGAATGAATGAATGAATCGTAGGAACTGAGTGAGGGCGGTAAGGGGGAGGGGTGGGGTAGAATATTGACTCACGGCAATAATTACTCTTACCGTTATAATAACACAACGCAAAATCCATAAAAGTTTGTTTCGTAATGTTAGTAAATGAATATCTTTAATACCATAACTCAACAAATTATTCGTACCTTAGCGGTACAAAGTTAAACGATTTATCGTTTTAGCTTCTCTAATGTCCACTATTAAACATGACTGACTTTTCGTACAATGCTTTGCAAAGTCTGATGCGCGGGTGCGGATGGCCTCACCAACCGTGCTCCATTCACTAATAAAGCACAGTTCTCAACCAATCAGAGCGCACGTATTATGTAAGCTATATAATGTAATGTACACCAATATGTTTGCCAAGCTTCTATTCTTGGTTAGATGTGAACTCACCGCCATATTGGTGTACCGTTAACCAACGATTACTCGATAGTGTACCTTGTTATGTACCTTTTGTTATGCAAGAACGAATTGGGTTACCCGTGGTTCAGGAAGACCAGGGAAAAAAATTGTTTATAAAGAAGAAAGAAATTAATCTCCATGATCAAGAAAGAAGACTGACACAGGAAATTTGTCTTATTTTCATGATTTATTGATAATAATAACATTGCTAGAGGGGTCATTACAGCTGGACAACTACTTACAGTAAATCTAATCTCTTTCAAAATCTAATTCCACTTTCTATTACGTTTTAATTTATTATCGTTGGACTGACTTTGATTGTGCTTAGAGTTTTTCCAGCATTTCTTCTACACCTTTCTTAGCATTAAATATACAATCATTAACAGACACCCCCTTATATGAAGCCCCTAGCAAGGTTAAGGGCAGATTATTCTGCTGGACATAATCAAATATTCTCTGTACCCTATCAGTATGTCCTATGTGGTATTGAGATATACAATTCTTTTGTACTGATGATAAGTGGTAGACTGGTTCTTGTGTGATACGCAAGATTTTATTGACTGCCTTTACGGCATTGTCTGTAAGGCTTTGAGGGGTAACTGTGTCTGGGTTTCCACAGTGCTTGTCAAACCAGTGTCCACCCATCATGATCTGGAGAAGGAAGACAAAATGTATCTTGTAAGATGTGCGTTTCTATATATAAAAATCTCAAGGAATATAAAGGATGTCCAAGCAACAATGGATAGGCTTAGTTGTACATAACATCCATTGTATTAAATCAAATAGTTCCTTGTTGGTTGTTGTTACATTCATAATAATTTGTCTTATCACCCATAGATTTAGTAAATATGTTCCAAGGTTTCGGCCTACTGGGCCATCCTCAGGGAAATGAAAAACATTACAATTGACAAAGAAAGCTCGGAACATATTTATTAAATCTATGGTTGATAAGACAAATTATTATAAATCCATTGTATTGTATGAGGTGTTTATGTAATGATTCACTAAGGATGAAATTATTATTATTATTATTACTATTATTATTATTACTATCATTATTATTATTTCTATTTCTATTAAGACATGCATAGACTATTAAGGTTTATTTAAAGAAAATTATTATATTTAAAAAAAATTATTATTATTATCATTATTATTAATATCTCTCTGCACTGTATGCTATGGTCGTACGGCATTGGGACTGTGTTTCGCTCTATTAACCATATATAGATACTTACTGTTAGTCTGGTATGATTCCCATCATTTCTGTCATGTTGAGGAAAGACACAAGAATCATATATAATTCCCAGGATATTGACTGGCTCGGATGATGGCAGCAGTATGCCAAATCCTTCATCTTGAATCAAGTTACTCTTGTATTCAAGGTTTACTAGGCCGACTGATACAGATTTGATCTCATTTAAAATGTTCTTAAGAGGCTGGAGAGAGTCGGTCAAGACTGATGATAACACACCAGTAGATAACGTACTGACAAGATGATCAGATACTATATCCTTAGTATCCGTGCTTAAACATACTGATCCATTATTTTTGAATTCTATGGCACGACATGGAGTCTCAGACAGAACATTAACTCCCATATGGACCAAAGATTCATGTAGTTTATCTGCAAATGTTTGTAAACCACCTTGCAATGACCATATACTCCACTTCTCTTGGATAGATTTCTGGACAAGAGGGTGGTTGTCAGGAGCTGGGCTTGCTGTGGTGGTAATCAAAAGCAAACATTTTAACCAGAAAATGAGACACGTCAACCTTACTATGCTATGAACTGTTTCATGACACTTTCACAAGTTTTTAAATTTTTTTTGGCAATTTTGAATTGTGCTCTTTACCACTAACCAATATTATGTATCGGCACTTCACTTTGATGTTTTGACATTGTTACATTGATGTAAAAACTCTGCCTATTGAAACATCAGAGTGCATTAGCATTAGGGAAGCAAGGGTGGCGTATGCTGCTAGTGCCACACCTCTAACCAATGCAACCTGGGTTTGAGTCCTGCTGGTCTTGGTGAAGTATCTGAGTAGAGTTGTTTGTTGGTTCTCTCCTGTGCTTTGAGGGTTTTTCTCCTGGTTCTTAGGTTTTTCCTCCCCCCACAAAAATCAACTTCTAAATTCTAAATCGATCTATCAGCTGCCTTACCAATTGGGTTGCAAAACCTGTTAGACATTTTGCCATCTACCCAGGAGTGGTAAATGCATTAGCATCGTACACCAGTCATGGTGATGACTTTCTTCACCCCTTCTACCATTGTATCATACTTACAAGATTTTCCTGGTAAGATGGCAGCTTTGACAACTGAACCACGTGATTTCTCCATTTCATAAACTGGTGGAAAGACTGACCTTAGGCTTAAAAGTCGAGCATCACCAGCAAAGATACCACGACAAATGGGATCCCCCAAATACTCTGCAACCTGTAAACATGTAGAAATGACTCAATAAAAGAACAATAATAGTGATGATAATGATGATCATACTGATGATGATAATCATGATGGT